TTAGGGTTTAGGGTTAGAGGAACCCAGGGGTCTGAAGAGGATCTTCCTCCGTCGTCAATATCTGCCATGCTTTTCGCGTGTTGTCTAATCTACGGCCTTAGGGTACATAGGGTGTAGGGTCTAGGGATAGCGGTCCATGTTGATAACAAAACCATTACTTTGGGTTCCTCATCAATGTGCTTCTATGATAATCTAGCCCAAAGCCCAAGACTCTTTTCTACTCCGAACAGGCACCTACCCCTTTAAGGAGCCCTCTTCTAGAGACTAGAGGAAACCCGTTCTGAGACTCCTTGGAGTGGAGGTTTACACTCTTCGGATCCTCTAAGAGTCCCTTTAGAGGCTCCTTCATGGGTGCCTTTACTGGTCCCTTTTTCAGGGACGATTTCCTGTAAAAGGGAGCTGCTTCAAGGGTTCATGGAAGGGTGCCTTTACTTGTCCCTTTTTCAGGGTTCCTGGACGATTTCCTGTAAAATGGGGGCTCCTTCGAGGGTTTCTTGAAGGCTGCCCCGTCAGGGTTCCTTTACAGAAGGCCCCTTTTAAGGGTTCATGTCCTTCTTATTCTTCTTATGGCTGCTGTCGTTGGTATCAGCATTGCTTATGACTGTCATGATTGTTATCATTAGTATCAGCATTGCCTATGACTGTCATGATTGTTATCATTAGTATCAGCACTGCTTATGACTGTCATGGTTGTTGTCATTAGTATGAGCATTGCTTATGACCCTTATGATTGTTATCATTAGTATTAGCATTGCTCATGACCGTTATGATTGTTATTGTCACTATTGCTATTCTTATTGTTGTTATTACTAGGACCTTAAAGTACGAGTTAAAGCTTTAAGTAGCTGGCTCGCAGTTTGCCTTTCGAGTGAAGAGCTTGTGGAAGCAGGCAGAAGTGTTGCAGTGCCCGACCCATCTAATTCCACGTTCTGCCTCATGCCTATTTCCGTGGATGTATACCTGATGAGTGGGAAGATGGTCTCTCTGGAAGTGGAGGGAGAAGCTTCTGTGAACACCTTGAGGCTGCGCGCCCAGAGTGCTCTGGGAGTTGGCAATGGAAGACTCCTGAACTCCTTTGGTCGGCTCCTGCCCGAAAGAGCAACCATCGCGGAAGCAAAGCTGCAGAGCGGTGATGTGCTGACCCTACGCATCACGCAGGTTCTACTCGCGGCATCCAAGAGGTTGGTGTTCGTACATGAAGCTGCCTTTGCGAAAATCTTGGGCGATGGATCCGTGGTGACGTGGGGCGATTCCGAGTGTGGTGGCGACAGCAGTGCTGTGCAGGATCGGCTGAAGGATGTGCAGCAGATCCAAGCTTCTGGGCACGCCTTCGCTGCGATCCTGGAAAATGGGTCGGTCGCCTGGTCGCAGAGTAGGCAAGCCCTAATCCTTTTCAATTTGTTGGTAGTGTCACCTCTACTTTAAAATCTCTAAAAGACTACCACAGATGAACCTCTAGTTCCTCTGGGACACTGGACAAGAAAGGTCGTGACCTGGGGCGATGCTTCCTGCGGTGGTCACTTCAGCTCTTCTCGGGATCCCCTAAAGGATGTGCGGGAAATCAAAGCTTCGCAGAAACTAGGTGGCAATTTGGGAAACTTTAGGGGTGTAGGGTTTAGGGTTTAGAGTAACTTCAAAAAAATCCCTTATGGTTTCTAGAGAGGTACCGATTCATAAATACTTTTCAGGGCCCCAAAACTACAACCCAGGAAGGCCTTTGCGGCGATCCTGTGGAATGGGTCCGTGGTGACTTGGGGTGATTCCAAGCGTGGTGGCGACAGCCGTGCCGTTCAGGATCCCGGGATCTTCTTAAGGAGTTAAGCTTAGTTTAGTGTAAGGTACCATGATAAGAAACCCTATCATCATTTACATAAAGAAGGCTTACTATAAGTTACCACAATAAGAAGCCATATCACTTACTGATTACTTACAGTAAGCTCCCGAAACCCTAAGCAAGAACCCAGGATCAGTTGAAAGATGTCCGGGCGATCCAATGCTCTTGCGCCGCCTTTGCTGCCATCCTCGAAACTGGATCGGTGGCTAGATTACGGTTGTTAATTAACTATATGGGAGATTCCAAAAATAGGGGGTACCTTAATAGGGGGGTCCTTATAATAAGGATCCTACTATTTAAGGTACTATATTAGGGTACCCTATTTTCGGAAGCCCCCATATACACATTTTTATATACTCATTTATGTTGATTGTCATGTCACATTTTACATATACATGTGCATAGTTGCATATGTATATACACATAGTTAGACATACCAGGTAGGCCTTTGGACTATTTTATATTTTGCCGGATTGGGATTAAGAGGATATGCAAACATGTTTTCCGAGGCTTTACAGTGCCAAGCTAGGTGGTGACCTGGGGTGATGCCGACTTCGGCGGTGATAGCAGCGCTGTACCTGAGCTCTCCAATACCCAGCCTTCAAACTTTTGGGCTTCTATATCGTGCATCTTAATCCAGACCCTAAACCCCACGAAGAAATCTGATCCCTTAACCCTAGTAAGGTGCAGGAGCAGCTGAAAGATGTTCGGCAGATCCAAGCTTCCATAAATGCTTTCGCCGCTATTCTTGGGGATGGATCTGTGGTCACTTGGGGGAACCTTGTTCCTTCCACAGATCTGTAGGGTTTTGTAGGGTGTTTTGTCGACATTGCTAGTAGAATATAAGTAGCGGCTGGCTTTTTGGGGTGATCCCAGGCTATGGGTTCCCAGCGAAGCTGCAAGTAAGGCCCAAGAAGAGTCGCAGCAGCGACAGCGGAGCCGTACGAGATCAGCTGAAAGAAGTGCAGCAGATCCAGGCCTCCATTGCTGCGTTTGCCGCCGTCCTCGGAACAGGATCTGTGGTGAGCTGGGGTGATCCTGATTTTGGTGGTAGCAGCAGTGCTGTGCAGGATCAGTTGACGGAAGTGCAGCAAATTCAGGCATCCCTTGGCGCTTTTGCTGCGATCCGGGCGGACGGATCCGTAGTGACCTGGGGCAATGAGCTGTGCGGCGGTGACAGCCGCGTCGTGCAGGACCAGTTGAGAAGTGTGCAGCATATACAAGCTTCTGACCGGGCTTTTGCTGCCATCCTGGGTGATGGATCCGTCGTGTCGTGGGGCAATGCCGAGTTTGGCGGCGACAGCACAGCAGTGCAGCCTCAGTTGAAAGATGTACAGCAGATCCAGGCATCTGGGGACGGCTTTGCAGCGATCCTCGGAGATGGATCTGTGGTCACTTGGGGCGGCAGTAGCAGTGACAGCAGTTCCGTTCAGCATCAGCTGAAGCAGGTCCATCAGATCCAGTCCTCTTCTGCTGCTTTTGCGGCGATTCTACATGATGGATCCGTGGTCAGCTGGGGCGGCGGTAACAGTCTGGGGGTCAAGGATTCGGAGCTTGGGGTTTAGGACACAGTGTCAGAATGTTTTTACTCAAAGCAGCTAAACCTTTCACCCCTACGTTACCTTCGCTAACGGTTGAACCTTTATCCCGTGTCATGTTTGAGTCGATCGTTTATATATATATATATGTGTATGTATATACATATATATATATATAGGGACTCGTTATTCTCCATGGGTTGCTGGGGACCGTAGTCCATACCGTAGTCGAAGCATTCCAAGTACTACATAACTATGTATTTCGATATAGGATAGTAGCAATGTCGGTTGGTATTGCAGTACGTACACAAAGTACTGTACATACATACATGCAAATACTATAATTATGTGTATGTTTACACACACACATACATACATACATATACATATATATATATAGAGTTATATTACAGACATATACACACATCTGACTATGAGGTGCTTGGACACCTTACCTAGGAATGATTGATGTCCGGTTCCCTAGCTAGCCTTGAGGTTTACACACGCAAGTGACATAAGCCAAGAGCTGCTGCAACCCCAAAGCAGCAGCGGCACCTGCCTTTGGATGTTTGCACCGCGGCCCTGAAGCAAAGCGTAAACCCTAACTCCCAAAGGTGTATGAATTTGCACATAACATACACATATATGCATCGAGATCGTTAGATAGATAGATAGATAGATAGGTCGGTAGGTAGGTAGGTCGGTCGGTCGGTAGGTAGGTAGGTAGGTAGGTAGGAAGCTTGGGTAGGTAGGTGGGTGTATACATATGTATAGATAGACCGATAGATAGATAGATATAGAGGGGGAGAGAGAGAGCGAGAGAGAAAGAGAGAGGGAGAGAGCGAGTCTTAAGACCACCCTAAACCCTAAACCCTAAACCAATAAACCCTTAAACCCCTGACCCTATAGACCCTAACCCCTAAACCCTAAACCCTCCTTTTTCTTTGAGGATTGATGCGGTCGGCCGTCAGCGCAGCGCCGGATTTGGCCAGGGCAACGATGAGCGAGAGCAGACGGTGTGCCTCGGCGGTGTCAGTATTTGCAAGCATGAGTCACCTGAAGTATAGTAATAGCATTCATCATGCATATAGTAAAATCTGCAGTGACAATTTACTTGTTTAGGTTTGCTTTTGTGCGGGTGTGTCTAGGCTCCTTAGTAGTTCCCTTGTTGGGATTGCCTTATAGGATTTTAAGGTTTGCCCTGTAGGATGCTAAATAGAAAGCCACAAAAAGGAACTACTTAGGAGCCTAGGTGTCGACAAGGTCTTCGGGACTGTAGCCTCCGCTCAGGAATCAGCTCTTGACAGAGATGGATGGCTTCGAGGCTTTTGCTCGGGTTTAGGGTTTATAGGGTTTAGGGTTTTTGCTCTGTCTGAGCGTCGTGAGGTTTGCTCGCGGTCTAACCGCTTCCTTTAAGTATGTTCTTTTCAGGTTCTTCAACGTGTTGTTGTGGGTTTTGGGATTCTGTTTTGGCTTTCGTGTTCAGGATTTTGCAGGGTGTAGTGATGCTTGGAGAGTTGAGGGTCTAAGGTTTTCGAATCCTTTAGAGGAGTTCTAGGGCACAGGCTGTGTCACCTCAACGATTTATGGGTTGCGATTTCAGATTTCGGATGTCAGGTTCTTTCATACACACGGTGCAAGATGTCTTTACATACAAGGTGCGCTTGAATTCGCAACCGAAGAGTTAAAAAGGGCATACAATCCCCCATTATGACCTTCATTAAGTGAGGGGGAGTTTAGAGTCAATGGTAGACATTCTAGCCCGAAATCCGCTAGACGCCTTAAGCCCTCAAATTCCTGGACCCAGAATCCCTATATAAAGCTCCCATAGACCCCAGCGCCCCTGAGCCTGTAAGCCCTATAGTAACCCCCAAAAAGTTGGAAACCGGATTAAGGACACTGAGAGCTGGGACTCCTTCTACATGACTCTGAAGGATTGAGGCTATTGGGTTTCCAACTTTTGGGCTTCTACTGTAACACAATCCCTATAGTGCCCCCGAAGTGAGGCCAACAAGGGAGTCGTGGTTATTGCGGCCACGAACCGAGCCGCAGCCTGCCATGTCAAGTTGGGCTCTTATTCCCAAGGGGGTCTACAGCTTAGGGTTTAGTAAAGTTTAGGGCTTTAGGGTTTAGAGTTTAGGGCTTTGGGTTTAGGGTTTTAAGGTTTAGGGTTTAAGGTTTACGGTTTAAGGTTTAGGGTTTAGGGTTAGGGTTTAGGGTTCAGGGCCTGCATCTTGGGTTTCTCACTTTCAAGGCCCTGTCTCTCTCTC